CCCCAAAACCCCAAAACCCCAAAACCCCAAAACCCCGGAAGAGTCTATTAATATTGATAAAACTTAAAGAGTAGCATCTTCAGACCTTCCGACGCTTTTTAAGAATAGTATTTTATATTTAAGTTCTTCTGAAATATACCATAAAGTTAGTGACTCAAGTTAGTAAAAGATTGTGAGATCGTCATCCTACTTTGGTTTAAGTGCTCTATTTGCTGGGCTTGATACCTCCTTAATGAGTAGACCTTCCTTCATTTGTTATAGAAATATTTTATCCCAAACAAGTTGGGGCTAGAAGTGGAATTCTGGATTTGTTACACAAGCGATATTATCTTTCTGAAGGTCCTTACGAGTATGCACTCAACCTAGCCAAGTTTCCAAGTAAGTCCCCACTCAACCCCCTTCACGAAGCTTGCTTTTAGCCTAACCGTAAAACTACACTTAAAAATTCAGATTTATCAATCCTCATAGTAAGAACCTCACATGCGACTAAAAGCCTAAATTTTAGAGCGGAAGAGTCTACATAGAAGAAGACAACGAGATCAGCCATAGAGTGTATACAGATTTGGAGCTTAAGACTCATTGGGTCGACGACAGTTCGGTATAGAGGTTTCAAGAGCGAGTTTAATGAATCCTGAACTTTCACAGGCTGGTTTAGACTAAATTGTATAATAATATGGAGACTTATAATTAATTACATCAGAGGTCTTGCTGAAATTCTGACATCTCAAAATTAGCAAAGTGTTTGAGAATTCAAGCTCGTGATACAGCCAGCTAGCAGTTCAAAGGTGTCTGCTTACACGACTCTCTCACTAGTTTAATCCTCAAATGCTTTGCTGATTTTCATAGATTCTGATTCATCTCTAAGGGGAAAGAAAAGGAATGAGATTAGTTCTGCGTTTTGGAAAGAGACTATGGCCTTATATCTGGGTGATACTGAGGATAAAACAATTGTTAAAGCAAACCCTTTTCCTTTCCCTTTTGATGCAGGAATTTTATCACTGGATGATTTGGCAATGGCCCAAAGAAAACCAATATACTCCTTCTTCTCTAGTTTTCCGAAGAATGTGGACTCATTTCTTGTGTGAACCTCTGCTGACTCTCCGATTGGTCTTTCGGGTTGAGTTTTTAATAAAATTACTAGGGTTAGCTTCAGAATTTCAAAATCTATGAATTTGAAAGGATTATGAATCTGTTTTAAGCAGCTAAAAAGAACCATATCATCGTTTAAGCATGTCGGAATAATTAAATTTCAATTTTGTAAACTTTCTATGGGGTTTTGGGGTTTTGGGGTTTTGGGG